TTTATTAGCACATAAATATTCTTATATGCATAAGTTTGAATGTAATTAAGTCTCAATTTAGAAAGAATGCACACAAAAAAATATAAATAGGAATTTAAGAAATATATGTGAATCTTATAATGTTGAATTCCATAATTTGATAAATTTAATTACTCAGAATTATTACATTAGTTTTTTTGAAACTATTAATATCTTACAAACATCAAGTATCATAACATTGAATTCAAGAATTTGGTGGATTTATTTGCTCAAAATTATTACTATATTATTGTGGAATATTTCAACTTTACATAAATTACCACAATAAAAGTTTAATGACTAGCCCTTCAAAATTAATGAGAACTTATGAGGTAAAATGTAAATATGAAAGCTTATGCAATGTAGTAGATACTTAATAAAAACAAATCATTGATTTAATTTGAACCATTCTCAATCATGCTTAAGATTCTGTGAATATCATAAAATATTAATCAAAAATAATTTTAGACATTTTAGATCACAAAATTTGTGATTTTACATATTGAGATGATGAATCAACATGTCTACTTGTTAATATTAATTTATTTCAGGTGATTTTGATATGTTCTGATTACCAATCCTTACTTTATGTTAATATATATTATTGATTTTCTTTTGATGATATCATATCCTTATCCAACTTTTTAGACAAATAAAGTTCAGATATATACATTGGGATTTGGAAGAGTATATCTGAACCATTCAAATATGTAAAAATTCAGGATTTAAATGTTAACAAATGGTAGAAAATATAGGAAAGTTTTGAATTTTATTTCTTCAAAATTAAACACATCTTGAATGAATAATTAGTTTTGAATGATCAACTATGACTCCTCTACCATTTGGATATTATTGCTAATATTTATTTATGCAAATTTGAATGTTCTTAATATTTTGCTTAAATAACAAGAAGGCAACAAGTGTGGGAACCAAAATTCAAACTAAATATTTCATCACAGTAATATCACAACAAAAACAGCTACATCTATCCAACTTCCCTATGAGAATAGGACAACGTAATCAAGTATTTATCATCTTCGCCTTCATGAAAATTCTAGATGTACAAACTCAATGTGTTATTCTGGAAACAATGCACAGTGATTATTTCATTATTTTTGTGTAGGCACACTTGTGATTAAATTCTTATTTAATCACTCAAAAAGAGTTGAACCTTGTAATCAACCAATGGCTTCTTAGACGTCTGAATCTTAAAAAAATTTCAAGATACATTTTGTAAAAGCTGAGCATAGTAACTAATGGTTGCATAATGAACATTTCATTTAGTGCAAGTTAGAAACTATATTATTTATGGGGAGTAGACATAGGTAGGAGACCCAAACATTTCAAAAAATTTATACTACTTTTGATTTAGAATCATGAAAAACTTAGGATTAAGATCCAATAAAAAGGATAAAAGAGATTAGGAAGAAGTTGACTAAAGTCAAACATAGGGTTTGATCAATTCAACCCCCTTTATTGATCTCCTTGTGACATAAAATCCAACAATCTGAATCTATAAAATTCATATCATAGTTGTTCAAATATTTTACAAATTTTGAGATTCAAGTATTGAGAGATGAAAAAAAATAGGGGAGGTTTTTTTTATTTCTCTATTAATTTAATATACCTCTAATAATCAATTCAAAATGATCATCTCTAACCCCTCTATCATAAAAACGGTCATGCTAACATTTTACGCGAAAATAATTTATGTGATTACGAGTGGCCTTTCTAACTAGGTTAAACAACAAGAAGGTAACTTATCAAAGAACCACATTCAAACCTTGTATTATCTGCTCATAATAGATTAAAGGGAAAATGCATTCATCAATCACCCATCTTCTAAGCATGAAGAGGACAAGAAACTTAAGTTATAATTCATCTTACTCTTTATCTAATTTACAAACAAACTTTAAGTCAAAAACTAACTTTTTAAAATTTGTCTAGGTGATTTTTTTTTATGGTGAAACCTTATATTGTTTTGTGTGGGTAGGTTATGATTGAATTTTGATCTAATCACTTAAAAAAATGAATTAATCTCTGAAATAAGTTGTGGATCTTATAAAGTCATGAATCTAAACAAAAAATTTAGATTAAAATTTTGTGAGAGTTGAACCTAGTAATTAGTAGTTGTGAATTCTAAACATTGATTTGTTGAAACTTAAAAACATTGGGTTCTTGAAGAATATATGTATGCAAGGGGTCAAACAACTATAAAAATTTTAAATTGCACTAGATCTAATTCTTAGAAAGTCTTAGGATTTAGAGTCAAAAGAAGGAGATTCATTCAACCCCATTCTTGGAATCATATGTCTCCTAGATAGTTGTTCACCCAAGTTGTTCAATATGTGTTTTATTTTGTTTACACCTATGATTGTGATTCATACTCGTCACTCATTTACTAGTGAAATTTATCCCTTTTATCCTATTACAATGGTATTTATTTATTTGATTTTACCATAATATAGCATGCTTCATTTAGATTGCAGCCCCATTAAGTAGTCAGATCACAATGGGTTGTAATGAAACATAGAATTACTTATTGAAGTTCTCATAAAAAATTTACTACTATGCTCCTTGTAGGACCATTTATGTGGCACACACATCACTAGGTGACATGACTTAGTTGTTCTATAATAGATCACGTAGATTTAAAATTATAAAACTAAAAAAATATTAATTTTTAAATTTCAAAAAATATTTTTTATCTATTGATTCTTACATAAATAATTATAAATGATTTAATTAATAAAATTAAGATATATAAAGGCTAGAATAACTATATTTGAATGACGAATGCTTTTAAAACTTGAAATCACACATGTTATCACTAAATTAGATAAAAATTAAGTTGAAAGCAAGAAAGATAAAGTTTTGGTCTTGTGATAGCGATTGCTATTATTCTATGCATTCTAATAGATTATCATGCAATATTTACGGTCTCAAAGACTTTTGACATAAGTGGCACAAGTAATCTTTAGATCTTCTTTTCAAGTCTAGAAGTCGATAAGGTGAGTTGACGAATCAACTCCAATGACTATCACTCAATAGAGTAGAAAAAAGTAACTTGTAAATCTTTGGTGACTGTCACCCTACAAAGATAAGTTAGATGAAGGTGAGATATATTCTAAGAAGCTTCATCTTTAAGTTTGTACAATAAAAGGAGGCTCATCATCTTATCTAGTATGTTCTTAAGAGGTGGTAACTCTGTTTTTGATGACGACTTGTTCATTGCTTAATTGGAGATAATTTACTTAATAAATTTGTGATCCTTTTATCCAAATCATTTAGTAATTTTAATAATGGTACTATGTGAATTACATTATCAAAATTTTAATTGATAATTAAGAAAAGATGATATCTTAATCCTTCACCAATAATCTATAGAAAGATCATGATTTAATAAGATAAAAATATAATTTTTGACTCTAGTAGGATTTAAAACCTCACTAGCCACCTACTTACATAAGAGAGTGTGAAATAAGTACACAAATACCTTTATAAAATGATGTCGTAAGAATATCTCATTCTCATAAACAAAGAGTATTTTAGGTATTAAAACTTTTGAATTTTTTTTTGTAAGCTATAATACCAATTTAGTCTCACATCAATAATTTTCTAATTTTGAGGCATATATAGTAATATAGCATTCTATCATTAATAAGCCTCTCTCTCACACATGTGCACAACCATTCCTTGCCTCACACCCAATTGGCCACTAGTGATGTCGAACAAGAGTGATACATATATGTCCTCTTATTCATCTTTAGCTGCATGAGCCTTTACTCACAACTCCACCATATTATGCTTTGACTCACTTGCGGACCTAGTTGGCTAGTGGGTTCTCTCATTTTTTTATGTTTTTATTTTATTTTATTTTATTTCTCTTTATTTTATCTCAAAATAGAATATATAAAATTATATAATTTCTAATAAAATCACATAAATAGTAAAAATCACTTTCCAATTTAACATAAATATTAATCTATTTATCATTGATTTAATACTTAAAATATATTATTAATTAATAATTAACTCATGATAAAGAAGACAAATCACTAGGTCACTTCTTCCTATGAATTTTCTTCTAAAATATGTATATGATACTCTTTTGATAATTCCTTTTAGAGTTTTTGTACTACAACATTCTAATTGGTGATAGGTTCCTCCAACGATCCAACTTTGAGTTGGCAAAGCTCTTGATAGAGGCATCTAGATCCTGATGTAGTGGGGCTTTTGTCGGCAGTCCTAACGCCATGCAGGTCTCCAATAAATTATGTTAGAGTCTAAATTGCCATGATAATGAGAGAGGCATAGTCAGGTCACTAAATCATGGGATCTTCCACACCAAGATCCAAGCATCCCCCCTTCAAAAGAAGCTTCTCCTTTCCCTCCCCCCTTCCTTCTTAGCCTGTTCTTCACTTGAAACCCACCATGGGGATCACTCATTTCGATTGTGGATGGGAGCAAAAATCTATGAGGCTGAAAATTTTCTAACAATAAAAATACTAAAATATAGAGAAATCTCTATATTTTGATCTGGTCAACCAGCTCTATTGTCATCTCTCTCCAATACATGATAGTATCAATTTTTACTAGCATGGTAATAATTATAAATTAGTAGTTGCATCTATGTATTAATATCTTATACATGTGTTACCAACTCATTATGACATTTATAATATTTTATTATTTAAGTCATAATGCGTATTATTTTATCTATTTTATTTATATTATAAGACTAACCCCACTGGATTTTTATGAAGTCAAGTGGTGGTTCTCTCACATTTTCTTAATCTTTATTTGATTGTAAGGACTTAGGTAAACTCTTATTATAAGTTAAAAGTAATGAAAGAAGCAAAAGCCTTCAATCCAAGAAAAAGCCCAAGTCTTATGGAGAGGGCTGACCTAATATATTTATGGGCCCAAGAGAGGGTGTCACCTTGGCCTAGCCCATTAGGACCTAAAAGGGCTATTAAGATATGAGATCTAGGCCACCCATTTTAAGACATCTTAAGATAAGATTAAGAGAAGGATTAGAGTACCGTCCTCATGGAAGAATATAGGTTGTCTATTAAGAGAGTCAATTATTAATCATAACCACCTATTGGAGGAGCCTAATTCTCGAAAGGATTAAGGTATCTTGTCCCCCTCTTGGAGGGTACTTTTTGGCTCTCTCTCAAGCAATAGCTAGCCGAAGAAAATAAGAAGAAAATCAAGGCCTGGTCAATAGCATTCTCATGCCTAAAATCCTCATGGAGAAGAGATTACCTAGGGTACATCAAGAACGTCATGGATCAAGCATCACTCGGCCTAGGATTAGCACACAACGAGATTTGTGCATTAGTGCATCCTTGTAATCCTCTCTATAGATAGATTAACTTTTAATTTGAATTAGTTTTATCATTTATTCTATCATTCCATTGTATTAAATATATTATTTCCCCTTTGCCACACTTTCTATATAGTGCAGAGGGAGCCCATCCATGCTTACTCTTGCCAACTTGAGTTTCTCTTGCTTAAGAACCTCATGGATGGAGAAAAATAATTCTGCTTTAAAGATCCAACTCTGGGGTCCCAACCCATAGAAGGTGAGTAATTCTAATTTTCTTCCTTGCCACAACTCGGTGGGCTACTGGTCATGGCTTGTATTTGGTTGGCCAAAGGGAGGTTCTTGGTCTGATAGCGAGTTACAGGTGTCTGGCAAATTCTTCGTCATTTCTGTTAATAGGTAGAATATTTTGTATCTGAATTCCCTAGGATTTCATTCATTGGAAAGTATCTTCTCTTTTCCATGTTGATGGTTGGATGTTGAGAGGTTCTGATGTATGGTGAGCTGGAGGTATTCAAGGGCTCTAGCGATGGCATAGAGCTGTTGATTCATTGTCACTTGCTTGTGCTTGAAGTCTTCTAGTTGGCCTTTGTATTCAGCATGTTTATTCCTTAGGGTGTCTCTATCAGCCTTGACAGTCCTGAGTTGCTGCTACTACACTGGACGGAATTCCTCGAATTCCTTGTCCATGAATTTAAGCTGGTTTAAGTAGCATATTGGAGGACTGATGGGTGCTTTGATACCAATGTGATGGGTGCCCAAGATGAGTCAGCTATATCTTGAACCAAAGATGAGCTCCAACAAGAAGAAAATGAAGAGACAAGGTGTTAGCACTTTACTAATGCACGAACATGGTATATAGAGAGAGGATCCTCAAACTCTGAAGAGAATGGAGAGATTAGAGAAAGGAAAAGATACACTAAAGGGTAAGAATCAGATAACTCTCACAGGAGTTCTCCACTAGATTGCCTCTTTGAGATGGTGGGTCTCCAAAAGTCTTCTTTCTCTTTCTGGCTGCATGTTTCTTTTCTTCTTCTCTTTCTTATAAGCAAGGTCCGCAGGTTTGACCGCGTGACTACGCACGCCACCTTTCACTTGCTCTCTCTTCACTGTCTCGTGGTGCACGCACAAGAAAAGCTTGTGGAATACAAATTGATGTATATTATAATTTGAAGACGCCTGTTTTCTCTAGTACGATATTGGATTTATAAGATTTAATTCAAGAGGTGTATAGTCGGGAGTAACAAAAGAGATTGGTGAAGTAAAAACATGAGAATTTAACTAGCCATATGCCAACTTCACTCAATCAATCCAAAAACCCTTTAATAAACGTCACAAAAAGATAATAGTTTTAGATCATCGCTAAGCTTAAACAGGTGATAAACACTCTCACGCTTCTAGCTCTCTTTCACATGGCTGCTGTTCCTACGTTCAGCGAGGTGAGTCGTCGGACGTCGCCACAGAGCATCTGGCTGATCGATAGAATCTTTCTGAAGGTTTCTTCCAGAAACGAGGCCGATCAACACCCATGCCTCCAACGGGTTGAAAACCAAGATTCCGCGAGGGTTGCAGAGAATTAGTGAGAGTGGATGGATCACAGTCGGGAGTATTCAATTTGTATGACGATTGGGATTGAAACAGGTAGAGAACAGAGGGATTCTTATCGATGGACGTGCCCAAAAGAGGGAAGAACAGAGGGAGCTGCCGCCGCCTCAGTGTTTCTTCTCTTGGGTATGGATGCCGTCGAGGTGAGCTCCAAGGGTCCTCATCATCCATTCTTATACGTAGTCCTCAACCACGGGATCCGCTTGCTCCTCTGCGGCGACCTACACAAAATCAAACAGTCGTCCCGCGGCGGAGATCAGATGCCTGAGATTCCGCGGCCAACCCGTGGAGTCGACCCAAGGCTCGGGTTGGTGAGGAGATGAGAGGGAGAGAGATAGAGAGACAGAAAGGGGAACTCGCCTTGTATTTTCTCCACATGAATAGGAGAGGAGGGAATGTGACAGCTAGGACCATGGCGATGAAGAAATACCAAGCATGGATCAGGGACGGCCTGGGAAACTGAAGGCAGCACCGCAGGACGAACACCAGCAAGAGAGAGACACCGGCGACCGACCTTGCCCATTTTCTTAGCCAGGAGATGATCTCCATATTCATAGTCTTATTCAACAGCTTTGGGTTTCTTTCAGGAGGGACGACGGAGAGTCCGATGAGGACGATGCCGGTGCAGAACATGAGGATGATGGAGGCGGCGTGGAGCTCGAAGAGCAACATATTACTAACCGGCTCCGGCGGCTGAGACACGAGCATAGCAAATGCCCCCGGAATCAGGAGACCAACCAACACCTGATAAGACCTCTGGGCTTCCTCTCCGCCTCCTCCTCCTCGGGTCTTAATCGACAGCTTCTCTGCCGCCGGTGGGGTGTCTCCGACCAGAGTCTCTTCTATTCCCCTTCTAGGTGGTTGGTTTCGGAGATAGAAGTCTCGGTCTCCCGGTCTGATTTCAGTGGAAACCGAGAGACAGAAACCACTAATGACTCAATCCGTTTGCATGATTCATGGAAACAGTGTCGTCGTGAGAGACTTGGAACTTACGGAAACAGAATTTCCTGTATGAACGCCTCCTCAGCGGCCCCTCGTCTCCGAACCCGTTGATAAGTCTTCATTATCATGAGTTAATAATTAGTAAATAATATAGTTTTAGCCTTAACTCATGATAAATAGACTTATATTTGTGTTAAAGCATGAAAAGTGGTTTTCAGTTGATTAACGTGAATTTTTGGGTAATTATGTGATTTTATACGATTTTTACAGTCTTAGTTTTGAGATAAATGAAGAACGAGAAATAAAAATAAAAATATTGCAAAATGGGGGAACCCGCCGGCCAGCCGGGGCCCGCAAGCGGGTCGGAAGCGCAGTCGGGGAGTAGTCGCGAGCAGGGGCTCGAGCGGCTTGCTTGGATCGATAGGGGCACGTGTGCGCCACTCCCCTTCCACGTCACCGGTGGTCAGCCGGCTGTGGGGCAAGGAGTGGTCGTACACGCCAGAGGACTTTTCCTAAAAAGCTAACTTTACTATATATTCGCCCGAATAATCCGCGCACAAACGATGTGGGACTAAATCCCTTGTTCAGGGGCGGGCGACCGCCGCGGGTTCGAATCCTCCCAGAGTCAAAATTCATATATTTTTAACTGATTATCGCGACTTTCCTGCAGATCGCCGGTGAAGGATTAAGCAACCGGAATCGCTGGATCATCGGCGAAAATCTCGTCAACGCGATTCGCGGAGCATTGCTACTAAAATTTCTGAACGATTCGCGATAAAAGGATCGCAATCCATCGAGTAAATCATCTCCGATTGATCGGCGAACAAGCCGTCGTCGGGAAGAGGACGATCCGCCGGGAGACCAGTCGCCACCTCCTGAGAGCGTACCAGATGCGATGAAGAGCCTCCTCTTGCTGCGCGGACCTGAGGATGAAGCTCCCTAACACGCGCCTCACCTCCATCCAGCCCCTCTCCGTCGGGTGACAGCCGCCGAAGATCCGCAAAGTCGCCGTTTTTCCACTCCGCCGGGTGATAGCCGCCGGAGACGATTCGACGACCCACTTCATTAGTCTCTAGACTTCGCGAGAAGATCTAGAGATTGCCCACGTCGTCTTTGTCCAAGGAGAGCCTTCGAGGCCGTGGACACTGCACGACGACCCTCCCGAACGCTCAGGATTCCAGTGCATCGCCGACGCGTCGCCGTCGCGACGCCGGAACTCTGTTTTCCTGCTTTATCTAGAGATTGCCCACGTCGTCTTTGTCCAAGGAGAGCCTTCAAGGCCATGGACACTGCACGACGATCCTCCCGAATGCTCAGGATTCCGGTGCATCGCCGACGCATCGCCGTCGCGACGCCGGAACTCTGTTTTCCTGCTTTCAATTTAATTTACGCTTCATTTAGTGATACTTTGTTGATTTTTATTTACCAAACTATACTTCGTTCAACTACGATTCTTCCGGCTTTTACAGCTCTTAATTTGATTAATTGAGTCGTCTGTAATCGCCTACGTAAGAATCGCCGGGCGGAACTCTGTTTCCGCCTGATTCGCGTTCGCCGGGCGCTGACGTCATCCTGACGTCCGCACCCTTATTTCCTCTTTTTTTTTGTGAATTTTAAATATATTTCCTTTTTATTTCCTAGTATAAAATTCGTAAGAAAATTGTACTCATTGAGAAAAATTCTGAATAATTACCAGATATTATATTACATCCCTGTGATCGACCTGGAAAATTACCGCTATTTTTGGAATTTTTATTGAATTATAATTGATATATTTATTTAGAAATACTTCTAAATATCCGAAAATTCGTATTTTCTAGTTTTATAAATTTTATATTTGCGTGATTTAACATACAACGACTGAGTCACGTCACCCGTCCCTGTCTCGGCGGTTGCTTAACAATTCATTTTTAATTCTCGGCCGGCCGACCACTTGCCGACGTTCTCGGCTATAAGCAAGCCGGCTTGCTTAGAAGTCTCTTCTATTCCCCTTCTAGGTGGTTGGTTTCGGAGATAGAAGTCTCGGTCTCCCGGTCTGATTTCAGTGGAGACCGAGAGACAGAAACCACTAATGACTCTGGTCGGAGACACCCCACCGGCGGCAGAGAAGCTGTCGATCAACACCCATGCCTCCAACGGGTTGAAAACCCAGATTCCGCGAGGGTTGCAGAGAATTAGTGAGAGTGGATGGATCACAGTCGGGAGTATTCAATTTGTATGACGATTGGGATTGAAACAGGTAGAAAACAGAGGGATTCTTATCGATGGACGTGCCCAAAAGAGGGAAGAACAAAGGGAGCTGCCGCCGCCTCAGTGTTTCTTCTCTTGGGTATGGATGCCGTCGAGGTGAGCTCCAAGGGTCCTCATCATCCATTCTTATACGTAGTCCTCAACCACGGGATCCGCTTGCTCCTCTGCGGCGACCTACACAAAATCAAACAGTCGTCCCGCGGCGGAGATCAGATGCCTGAGATTCCGGGGCCAACCCGTGGAGTCGACCCAAGCCTCGGGTTGGTGAGGAGATGAGAGGGAGAGAGATAGAGAGATAGAAAGGGGAACTCGCCTTGTATTTTCTCCACATGAATAGGAGAGGAGGGAATGTGACAGCTAGGACCATGGCGATGAAGAAATACCAAGCATGGATCAGGGACGGCCTGGGAAACTGAAGGCAGCACCGCAGGACGAACACCAGCAAGAGAGAGACACCGGCAACCGACCTTGCCCATTTTCTTAGCCAGGAGATGATCTCCATATTCATAGTCTTATTCAACAGCTTTGGGGTTCTTTCAGGAGGGACGACGGAGAGTCCGATGAGGACGATGCCGGTGCAGAACATGAGGATGATGGAGGCGGCGTGGAGCTCGAAGAGCAACATGTTACTAACCGGCTCCGGCGGCTGAGACACGAGCATAGCAAATGCCCCCGGAATCAGGAGACCAACCAACACCTGATAAGACCTCTGGGCTTCCTCTCCGCCTCCTCCTCCTCGGGTCTTAATCGACAGCTTCTCTGCCGCCGGTGGGGTGTCTCCGACCAGAGTCATTAGTGGTTTCTGTCTCTCGGTCTCCACTGAAATCAGACCGGGAGACCGAGGCTTCTATCTCCGAAACCAACCACCTAGAAGGGGAATAGAAACCCATCAATCCGTTTGCATGATTCATGGAAACAGTGTCGTCGTGAGAGACTTGGAACTTATGGAAACAGAGTTTCCTGTATGAACGCTAAAAATTTGGGTCGATGAAATCAAATGAATGGTGGCGTGCGTAGGCACTCGTCTTGAAGGTGGGGCCGCTGAGGAGGCGGAAGTTTTGGCCGGAGACGAGGGTGTCGGAGGGGGGGAGGAGGGCATCGAAGCTCAGCCAGAGGACTGACAGAGCCGTTTAGGGTGTCGTCGACTGAGAGGGGAGATGGGGTCAAAGAAGACGTTCTTCCTTTCCCCCCTGCACTCCCTTCTAATCACTACCCCCGGTCTCCGGCGGAGGATGCCATGGACGGAGCGAGGAAAATATGAAGAAGAGGGAAGGAGGACGGTGGTCTGGTCTGCGGATGGGTTTCACCGAGGAGACTCTGTTGATGGTGGTCGCCGCAGGAGAGAAGAGACAAGGGAATAAGAGCAGAGAACGGCGGTGGTGGCGGGAGTGGCGGCGGCAACGGCAGCTACGGCGTCGACGGCGGCGGATTGTTACAAGGGATTTGAAGATAGCTGTGGATGGTAACAATGGAGGGTTGGTGAAGGCTGGCGGCGGCGGCGCGTCGGATCACAACTGGGGTTGGCGGACAGCGACGACGATCACCGATAAACTGCTGAACGAGGGATTACTCGTCGCAAGTACGAGAAGAGAAGATCCATGCTTGAATCAAAAGTTTGCCCCGTTTTGATAGATGCGTACCTGGGAGAACAGAAGCTCTTCTGAACACCCCATGCCTACCCCGACTAACTTATAGCCGAGAACGTCGGCAAGTGGTCGGCCGGCCGAGAATTAAAAATGAATTGTTAAGCAACCGCCGAGACAGGGACGGGTGACGTGACTCAGTCGTTGTATGTTAAATCACGCAAATATAAAATTTATAAAACTAGAAAATACGAATTTTCGGATATTTAGAAGTATTTCTAAATAAATATATCAATTATAATTCAATAAAAATTCCAAAAATAGCGGTAATTTTCCAGGTCGATCACAGGGATGTAATATAATATCTGGTAATTATTCGGAATTTTTCTCAATGAGTACGATTTTCTTACGAATTTTATACTAGGAAATAAAAAGGAAATATATTTAAAATTCACGAAAAAAAAAGGAAATAAGGGTGCGGACGTCAGGATGACGTCAGCGCCCGGCGAACGCGAATCAGGCGGAAACAGAGTTCCGCCCGGCGATTCTTACGTAGGCGATTACAGACGACTCAATTAATCAAATTAAGATCTGTAAAAGCCGGAAGAATCGTAATTGAACAAAGTATAGTTTGGTAAATAAAAATCAACAAAGTATCACTAAATGAAGCGTAAATTAAATTGAAAGCAGGAAAACAGAGTTCCGGCGTCGCGACGGCGATGCGTCGATGATGCACCGGAATCCTGAGCATTCGGGAGGATCGTCGTGCAGTGTCCACGGCCTCGAAGGCTCTCCTTGGACAAAGACGACGTGGGCAATCTCTAGATAAAGCAGGAAAACAGAGTTCCGGCGTCGCGATGGCGACGCGTCGGCGATGCACCGGAATCCTGAGCGTTCGGGAGGGTCGTCGTGTAGTGTCCACGGCCTCGAAGGCTCTCCTTGGACAAAGACGACGTGGGCAATCTCTAGATCTTCTCGCGAAGTCTAGAGACCAATGAAGTGGGTCGTCGAATCGTCTCCGGCGGCTGTCACCCGGCGGAGCGGAAAAACGGCGACTTTGCGGCTCTCCGACGGCTGTCACCCGACGGAGAGGGGCTGGATGGAGGTGAGGCGCGTGTTAGGGAGCTTCATCCTTAGGTCCGCGCAGCAAGAGGAGGCTCTTCATCGCATCTGGTACACTCTCAATAGGTGGCGACTGGTCTCCCGGCGGATCGTCCTCTTCTCGACGACGGCTTGTTCGTCGATCAATCGGAGATGATTTACTCGATGGATTGCGATCCTTTTATCGCGAATTGTTCAGAAATTTTAGTAGCAATGCTCCGCGAATCGCGTTGACGAGATTTTCGCCGATGATCCAGCGATTCCGGTTGCTTAATCCTTCACCGGCGATCTGCAGGAAAGTCGCGATAATCAGTTAAAAATATATGAATTTTGACTCTGGGAGGATTCGAACCCGCGGCGGTCGCCCGCCCCTGAACAAGGGATTTAGTCCCACATCGTTTGTGCGCGGATTATTCGGGCGAATATATAGTAAAGTTAGCTTTTTAGGAAAAGTCCTCTGGCGTGTACGACCACTCCTTGCCCCACAGCCGGCTGACCACCGGTGACGTGGAAGGGGAGTGGCGCACACGTGCCCCTATCGATCCAAGCAAGCCGCTCGAGCCCCTGCTCGCGACTACTCCCCGACTGCGCTTCCGACCCGCTTGCGGGCCCCGGCTGGCCGGCGGGTTCCCCCATTTTGCAATATTTTTATTTTTATTTCTCGTTCTTCATTTATCTCAAAACTAAGACTGTAAAAATCGTATAAAATCACATAATTACCCAAAAATTCACGTTAATCAACTGAAAACCACTTTTCATGCTTTAACACAAATATAAGTCTATTTATCATGAGTTAAGGCTAAAACTATATTATTTACTAATTATTAACTCATGATAATGAAGACTTATCAACGGGTTCGGAGACGAGGGGCCGCTGAGGAGGCGTTCATACAGGAAATTCTGTTTCCGTAAGTTCCAAGTCTCTCACGACGACACTGTTTCCATGAATCATGCAAACGGATTGAGTCATTAGTGGTTTCTGTCTCTCGGTTTCCACTGAAATCAGACCGGGAGACCGAGACTTCTATCTCCGAAACCAACCACCTAGAAGGGGAATAGAAGAGACTCTGGTCGGAGACACCCCACCGGCGGCAGAGAAGCTGTCGATTAAGACCCGAGGAGGAGGAGGCGGAGAGGAAGCCCAGAGGTCTTATCAGGTGTTGGTTGGTCTCCTGATTCCGGGGGCATTTGCTATGCTCGTGTCTCAGCCGCCGGAGCCGGTTAGTAATATGTTGCTCTTCGAGCTCCACGCCGCCTCCATCATCCTCATGTTCTGCACCGGCATCGTCCTCATCGGACTCTCCGTCGTCCCTCCTGAAAGAAACCCAAAGCTGTTGAATAAGACTATGAATATGGAGATCATCTCCTGGCTAAGAAAATGGGCAAGGTCGGTCGCCGGTGTCTCTCTCTTGCTGGTGTTCGTCCTGCGGTGCTGCCTTCAGTTTCCCAGGCCGTCCCTGATCCATGCTTGGTATTTCTTCATCGCCATGGTCCTAGCTGTCACATTCCCTCCTCTCCTATTCATGTGGAGAAAATACAAGGCGAGTTCCCCTTTCTGTCTCTCTATCTCTCTCCCTCTCATCTCCTCACCAACCCGAGCCTTGGGTCGACTCCACGGGTTGGCCGCGGAATCTCAGGCATCTGATCTCCGCCGCGGGACGACTGTTTGATTTTGTGTAGGTCGCCGCAGAGGAGCAAGCGGATCCCGTGGTTGAGGACTACGTATAAGAATGGATGATGAGGACCCTTGGAGCTCACCTCGACGGCATCCATACCCAAGAGAAGAAACACTGAGGCGGCGGCAGCTCCCTCTGTTCTTCCCTCTTTTGGGCACGTCCATCGATAAGAATCCCTCTGTTCTCTACCTGTTTCAATCCCAATCGTCATACAAATTGAATACTCCCGACTGTGATCCATCCACTCTCACTAATTCTCTGCAACCCTCGCGGAATCTTGGTTTTCAACCCGTTGGAGGCATGGGTGTTGATCGGCCTCGTTTCTGGAAGAAACCTTCAGAAAGATTCTATCGATCAGCCAGATGCTCTGTGGCGACGTCCGACGACTCACCTCGCTGAACGTAGGAACAGCAGCCATGTGAAAGAGAGCTAGAAGCGTGAGAGTGTTTATCACCTGTTTAAGCTTAGCGATGATCTAAAACTATTATCTTTTTGTGACGTTTATTAAAGGGTTTTTGGATTGATTGAGTGAAGTTGGCATATGGCTAGTTAAATTCTCATGTTTTTACTTCACCAATCTCTTTTGTTACTCCCGACTATACACCTCTTGAATTAAATCTTATAAATCCAATATCGTACTAGAGAAAACAGGCGTCTTCAAATTATAATATACATCAATTTGTATTCCACAAGCTTTTCTTGTGCGTGCACCACGAGACAGTGAAGAGAGAGCAAGTGAAAGGTGGCGTGCGTAGTCACGCGGTCAAACCTGCGGACCTTGCTTATAAGAAAGAGAAGAAGAAAAGAAACATGCAGCCAGAAAGAGAAAGAAGACTTTTGGAGACCCACCATCTCAAAGAGGCAATCTAGTGGAGAACTCCTGTGAGAGTTATCTGATTCTTACCCTTTAGTGTATCTTTTCCTTTCTCTAATCTCTCCATTCTCTTCAGAGTTTGAGGATCCTCTCTCTATATACCATGTTCGTGCATTAGTAAAGTGCTAACACCTTGTCTCTTCATTTTCTTCTTGTTGGAGCTCATCTTTGGTTCAAGATATAGCTGACTCATCTTGGGCACCCATCACATTGGTATCAAAGCACCCATCAGTCCTCCAATATGCTACTTAAACCAGCTTAAATTCATGGACAAGGAATTCGAGGAATTCCGTCCAGTGTAGTAGCAGCAACTCAGGACTGTCAAGGCTGATAGAGACACCCTAAGGAATAAACATGCTGAATACAAAGGCCAACTAGAAGACTTCAAGCACAAGCAAGTGACAATGAATCAACAGCTCTATGCCATCGCTAGAGCCCTTGAATACCTCCAGCTCACCATACATCAGAACCTCTCAACATCCAACCATCAACATGGAAAAGAGAAGATACTTTCCAATGAATGAAATCCTAGGGAATTCAGATACAAAATATTCTACCTATTAACAGAAATGACGAAGAATTTGCCAGACACCTGTAACTCGCTATCAGACCAAGAACCTCCCTTTGGCCAACCAAATACAAGCCATGACCAGTAGCCCACCGAGTTGTGGCAAGGAAGAAAATTAGAATTACTCACCTTCTATGGGTTGGGACCCCAGAGTTGGATCTTTAAAGCAGAATTATTTTTCTCCATCCATGAGGTTCTTAAGCAAGAGAAACTCAAGTTGGCAAGAGTAAGCATGGATGGGCTCCCTCTGCACTATATAGAAAGTGTGGCAAAGGGGAAATAATATATTTAATACAATGGAATGATAGAATAAATGATAAAACTAATTCAAATTAAAAGTTAATCTATCTATAGAGAGGATTACAAGGATGCACTAATGCACAAATCTCGTTGTGTGCTAATCCTAGGCCGAGTGATGCTTGATCCATGACGTTCTTGATGTACCCGAAGTAATCTCTTCTCCAATGATTGTGGTAATTTCTATAATGTTGACAATTTTTGAAATAACATAGTAATAGTCTTGAGCAAATAAATCCATCAAATTGTCCAATTCAATATTTCGAGACTCATTTTTTATAAATATTGATAGTTTCCACAACTCAGATGTGCGGGTTTGTCTGCACATAAATCGAGATATCTCTTTTTAGGGGGGTAGTTATCTTTTCCTATTTTCTATAGATAGAGTATGCATTTCTTCTTTTTTTAAAACGATGGACAACAAGATTTCTCTCTCTTTTGATTGTACTCTCTCTCTCCATCAACTCTATTCCTCTTTCTTGATTTCTATTCTCTCTTCTATTGTAGGTGAAGTCCTTATAGAAGGAGATAAGAGTCCATTGATGACTCTCTACTATGTGAGTCATCTCGAGGATGTTGAGACTTGGATTAAAGGTGTCTAGTAGAAGTCTTGTTCTTATCAAGATTCTTAATAGCTTGTGTTACAACACCGAATGATTTCATGATTGATGATACTCTTTTATGGCATTTTTAATTGGGCTATATGAGTAAAAATAAGTATATAGAAGTTATATGTATGAGGATTGCTACTTAGTGTAAAAACTTACAAATTAAATTTTTGTAGGTATTGTATCATAGAAAAATAATATAAGGTGACATTAAAGGCAACAAAGCATGATACAAATACAGTGCTAGATTATATTCATTCAAATCTGTGGTTTGATTGATGTGACATTGGTGGGTGGTGTTCATTATTTTCTAACCTTTGCTGATGATTTTTCTATGAAAGTTTGGGTATTCTTCTTGAAGCATAAATCAAAAGTATTTATGAAGTTCAAATTTTTGTAAAGAATCAGATAGGGAGGAAAATCAAAGTCTTGTGAATTGACAATGATATAAAAATTATAAATTTTAAATTTAATCAGTTTTGTGATGAGTATGATATTCAATGTCATTATATGGTGAAGAAGACTCCACAGTAAAACGGTGTTGATGAATGAATAAACCATATAATTATTGAGATAGCATAATATTTATGGTTGAATGTCAACTTATCCAAGAAATTTTAGATAAAAGCTATGAGTATGGTAGCTTATTTTCATGAATAGATCACCAAATTATGCTTTTAATGGGAAGATTGTTGAAGAAGTATATATTAGAAATCCTATTAACTATTCAAATATATATATATTGATGTCTATGATACATCCTTATACTTGCTGATGAAAAATTGATGTTAAATATAAAGTCAAGAAAATATATCTTCTTGGACTATAGCATTACTATGAAGAGATATCGACTTTGGGATTTATAGGTAAAAAAATTATTTTAAGTAGGGATGTGACTTTTGATGAAAATTACATGTTGAAGTCCTTCTCTATAAAGTATATAGTTCAAAAATCTGATGATACTCATATTAAAGACAAAGTAATGCCGAAGGTGAAGATTACGTAGAGTCCTCCTAATTCTATTATGAGTGAAGAATGAGTTGTAGAATTATCAAATGTTCCTAATTATATTACTATTAGACAACTTTTTAGGAAGTAATTATTTTTCCGAAAAAGGAGAAGTAGTTGTAGGTGATGTTTGAGAATCAAGTATTGTTAGACAAAAATCACACATGAGAATTAGTAGATCTTCTTATAGAGAAGCGAACTATTAAATGCAAATAGGTGTACAAGAAGAAGTCACCAATGATTAACGGTGATTAACCACAATACAAGATAAGACTTGTTGCAAAAAGCTATATAGAAGTAGAAAATTAATTATACAAAAAGCTTTTCATCTGTTGTGAGGCACACATATATTTGCTTGGTGTTAACTATTGTCACACATGAAGATATGAAGTTTGAGTAGCTAGATGTGAAGACGACATTCCTTCATAGAGATTTAGAGGAGACTATTTATGTACAGCAGTCAAAGGGTTTCATTGTATACGGGTCAAAATATTTTGTTTGTCAACTAAAAAAGTTACTTTATGGATTGAAGTAAGCATTGAGACAATGGTACAAAAAATTTAACTCTTATATGTTGAAGATTAACTATACAAGGTGTGATTTTGACTATTGTATTTATATGAATACTTGTGGTGATAATTCTCTAATTATTTTGATCCTCTATGTTGATCATATATTCATTATTTTGAAGAATTCACATAAGATTGCTATATTGAAGGTATTATTGATCAAAAAAATTGAAATGAAGAATCTTAGTGTGGTAAAAAGATTTGTGGTATAGAGATTTATAAAGACTAGAAGTTAGGTCAATTATAGTTGACTTAAAAGAGTTCTCTCTCAAGGATGGTAGATCTATTTAGCATGAGGAAATGTTAAAATAGTGAACACTCTTCTAATTAGTCATTTTAGATTATCTATTACTTAGTGTCCATCCAACATTTGAGAAAGATATTACTGAGATGAAGTAAATTCTTATGTTAGTGTGGTTGACTCTCTCATATATGTTATGGTCTATATAAGACCAAATATTACTCATGTAGTTGAGTTTGTAGTAAATTTATGAGCAATTCAAGAAAAGAATATTGAAGCTCAGTGAAGTGAATTCTCTAATATCTAAAGGGTTCTTTAAAGTTTGAAATCTATTTTGACCAACAAAATTGTCTTTCTATAATTGACTTTGTTAATGTAGATTTTGCTAAAGATTTAGATCATCACAGATCTACAATAGAATATTTTTCATTGTAGCTGATGGACCTATGGGTTGAAAGTCTACATTTCAAACTATTATGACATTGTCTACGAATAAGATGGAGTACATGACAACTATTGAAGTGGTCAAGAAAGCCTTGTGGTTGAAAGTATTATTGAGTGAACTTGAGATCTGATATGGTGAAGTTCTTCCCATCTTGTGACATTCATAGTACTATTTACTTGGCAAAGAATTAAATTTATCATGCACAGTTGAAACATATTGATGTGCAATATCACAAAATTTGTGAGTTAGTGAATTATAAAGATATCTCTCTAGAGAAGGTTCACATAGATGAGATGTCGCATATATGTTGATGAAGGTCATCATAGTTAAAAAGATTAAATATTATTTGAATTTGATTCATGTTGTAGGTATCTTGTAGAAGGTGGAGAACTTACAATATAGATGGACATTAACACTGAGTGTAGTGATGATGGCTGTCAAGGTAAAGTTTGTTAGTAGTGTCAGTCCATCACAACTGACCCATTTAAGAGATGAACCTCTTCCCATCTCAACTATTCAAGAGATGTGCAAGAGAGCTTCTCTCATTTGACTTACTTGAGAGACGTGTGAGGAGTGAGGGATAGTGACATGATTGTAACCTCACCCTGTAAGACTGATTTAAGGGTTATGTAGGGAGAGAGATAGTTGTCACCTCATCCCTTTAGACTAGTTTGAGGGTTGTGCACAGAGAGAGGGTGCGAAAAATAAGAGAGGTTTAAGCTGTCACTACTAAGATGTTTGGGCTCGCCCGCACATAAATCGAGATGTCTCCTTTTAGAGGGTGATTATCTTTTTCTATTTTCTATAGATAGAGCATGTATTTCTTTTTTTTTGAAAATGACATATGACAAGATTTCTCTCTTCTAATTCTACTCTCTCTTTACATTAATTTTATTCCTCTTTCTTGGTCTCTCCTTTTTCTTCTATTGTAGGTGAAGTCCTTATAGAAAGAAATAAGAATTCATTACTAGTTCTCTATTGTGGGTCATCTTGAGGGCATTGAGATGTGAATTAGAAGTGTCTGGTAGAAGTCTTGTTCTCATCAAGATTCTTGATAGTTTAGTGATTTCTCTTCTATTTATTTGCATTGATATTTAGAAATTGAGTTTTTGTTATTATTATGATCTTATGTTTGCCTATTTATTCTTACATCTCTTTCTGCTTCCCCATCTGACACAACTCACCTAATAGATGTATCACCTCACTCGAGGGCAACCTTGTAATCAGTTACTGAGGGGGGCTCGACAGTAGTAGTGACTGTAATGACATGTTGAAATTCATGTTCCAGATGTCATCTGAGATGGTCAAGCTTATCTCCAACACTAAGATGAAGCTTCTGAGCGGCATAATGACCTTTATTCTCAATTGCCCTCCAACCCGAAGTGTATGGGGCTTGGTCCTGTCCTCCTACCTATTTGATCTATGTCATCACTCTGCAGGTGAAAATTTTCTCCATTTTGCTGTCATCCCTGAGGTTCCCAGGAAGAAACCAGTTGACGCTCGTGATCTTAGCCTACCTCACCCGAGTCGCCACCGAAGCTTTTCAGGTAGTGTGCCTCGTCATCGGCCTGAAGCCTCTCCAGGCAGTCGTCTCTGCAGGTTTGGCGAATCTGCTCTCTACCAGAGCCAACTGTTAAGACAGAGCAATGGGGTGTAATCTTCACATCACATGCCCACCCCGTATGCGCAGGTTTTCCTGTTTCTATTTACATTTTTCCTTCAGAGTACGTCGATGTCGGGTGCAAGGGCATGTTTTTTGTGGAGCAGCTCGCACAGCCCTGTGGAGTTGTGGCAAATAAATAAATCCCATTGTGGCTGGCCTATGTAAAATTATGTGTCCTATTTAATGTAGAAATAATGTTGTTTCGCGATCTTACCTCATCGTATGTAAACCGCCATTGTTTTATCTATATGAAGATAATGTTATGGTATGATATATCATCACACGTAGACAATGTGAATTCCTGCTGCCTTTGACTCTGTGAGATGGGCTGGTCCGGCACATCTGCTGGATTCAGAGTATGACAAAATTGAGTGCCGCGCGGTGGTCTGCCAGCCGAGACGTCCAAGGGAAGGGTCGTCGAGCTCTCGCGTACAGTCGTCAACGCTTTGGAGCTCTGGTAATCAATTTTGTTCCGAACATCTGAAATGCCCATCTGCATCAAACGTTACGGTTTATTTAGGAGTTCACACGGTCTAACCGTTGTGGGTTTCAAGCGCAGGAAAAAACCAAGGCAATGCCCGATGGACAATTTATGTGTATGATGCATACCCGTCAGTCTCCTTTTGTGCAGAAAATAATGCATTTAGGCATCAAGTATGCCTGATCCTCAACAGCTTTCAACATCTTGGAAGAATAATATGAGCTCATCTAGATCTTGGTAAATCGCAAAGGACGGATAACTTTGTCGGCTGTTAAAGAAAATCCGATACAAGTTTCGGCCGTAGAATTGACTTAGTTCAGTTCTCGCTAAGAACTAGTGAAGCATCACTGATTTGGTTTCTGTAACACCTTTTGGGAAGAGTATGATCTTAATTATATGAAGAACATGTATCATCTTTAATGGAAAAAAAGGATAACTATCACACACGCAGAAATTTTGATTATACCTAAAGTTCCCATGCTAGTTCCATCGTCTATCCAATTCCATTTTGTTGTCCCTACACAGATTTTTTTTTGATGTTGATGCACTGAAAATGCTAATGCATATGAAAAATGTTAATAGGTGGATGAATAGCATCTTGTGCTATAATCTTTAGAACATCTCGCATCTTAATAGGTGATCCTGGACTCAGTTGATCTTCCCATATTATTTTTAAAGGAATTTACATCATCCAGTGGAATAGACATTGTTCCGGCTTGAGAAACTCTCGAGGGTCAATCTCCGTCTTTCTCATAGTGATTTGATCACAAAGGTGACTTCCCTTTTTTTAATAGCTTCATCTTCTTCCATGTCCATTTGCGTAGTTTAATTGGTGTTCATACGATTGCTGGGGTGAGATAGAGCATAGAAGAATCTAGTTAGATCGGAAGATCAGGCCCATGACTGGAAGCTCCCAATGGGAACCTTCTGACATTGCTGCGCGCCATGTTCAACATTTATGATTCTGCCATCAATGAGACATACTCTCTTTGGTCCTCCATTATCAGTAAGTTGATTGTTTCCCTCCTGCATCCTCCTAGAGAGAAGGAGATTTCTGAGAGTTGTCTCATGGATCCCCACGATGAGGCATAGTCGAGTCGAAGTGGGTCCCAGGGTGGTGGTGGCGTGCAACATCGGTCTCAACATTTATGATTCTGCTACCGCCCGATTTTCCTCGGCCCGTTGGTCAACATTCATCATTTCATGGTGGCGGCTGCCTCCGTAAAGGATGGGTGAGCTGAGTCGCGTCCGTTTAGGACTCCCAGTTTCAAAGGCGGCGCTGCCGACAGGAGCATCTTCGACTTTCCACGGAGTCCGCCGTTTCGGGGAATCCAGATGCGAGGAAGCACCCGTTGACTGGGGTCCAGTTGATGCGACTCTCTCTCTCTCTCTCTCTCTCTCGCTCTCTATGTCTTGACTGCGCTGATCTCTCCTGACTGCGTCCGATAGTAACGGGAATCCAGTTGGCATCATACGGCCCGCCAATTGTCCAAGAGCGAAAAGGGACCTGGGTCAGCGCACCGCTATCAGACGCCGGAAGAGCCTATAGTTTGATCGGACGCGCGTAGAGGGTTCGACAAGGGGGACGTCGAATAGAGCAAATATTTTAGACGAATCTCTGTCAAAATGGAGCTTCCTGAGTGTACACGCTCCGCTCATTGATAACCAAGGATTTCTCTTTGAAGCTCGGAGCACAAGTGTTGCACCTGAACATGTTAATTGACGGGTTTTTTAAGCGGCAATGAACCCTTATTCTAAAAAAAATTATGAACATAATAATCGAAGGCTTTTTAAGTGACAATGAGCCCTTATTCTAATATTTTTCACCGAGATCAGTATTATCAGTGTATTCCACATCACATTTTCATTTTTTTATTCTTTTTCTCAAGAACATCAGAAGGGAGTTGCATAGACAATAGAGAATATCTCACCTAGTGACACTCGGGTGAGGTAGGCTAACATCACGAGCGTTGACTCGTTTCTTCCGGGGAGCCTCTGGGATGACAACAAAACGGAGAGGACCTTCACCAGCAGACCGATGGCGAGATAAACACGTAGAAGTCCAGGACCGACCCCCCAGAAGCTTCCTAAACTCTAAACCCTGTGGTGGAGGCATTGAGAAATAGGCATTGAAAGACCATGTGTTCAGTGTGGTTAAATGTGTCTCATATGCATATAAATGTAATAATGATTTATTTTTTATCAAATACAAAAGGTGATAAAATTATTTATTGTGCGCTCGATATGAATGAATTTAATGTGTTTCCTGTTGTAGTACACCAAAAACGATGGGACACCCTCAAGAGAACATATGAAGAAAAAGTCAATGGGAAGTAAAGATAATATAGCTAAATCTAACAATCAAAAATTACGTTTTACAGCCCAAACAGATGAGATTCGCACCAATAAACTTGAAGCTGAATTTTTTGTTGATGGATATAAAAATAGTGGACAAGAATTGAAATACTTATTGAAAATGAGCTTGATCCATGTAGAACTTTGTGTGATGAGAAATATCAAGGTATGATGATATTGCCCTTGATTTCGTTGAAGATAATGAAGTAAATGTACATTTAATTGAGCAAATGAATAATAAGGATCATGAAGAACTAGAAACCTAAGTCCATGGTAGTTAAATGGATAAATTATTAGAGACTGCTCTACAAAAATAAGGATTATAGAGTTGAATTGAAAATGTTGTTCAAAATTAATAGGAAATTATCAGTTCAAAAGGAGAATGTAATCCCTTCAAAGGGTTGTCTAGAGATCAGAAATTTGAATATTGTAAATCAATAGCCCAAAATGCCAGGACCAAAAACTCTTTAAATACGTTTCTAGAGAGCCAACTAGAATCAAACTGTCCAATGGAAACCCAACAAAACTAATGATATAATGAAACATTTGGATATTATGACAGATCTAAAGGAAATGAAGATATTTTTTCAGAATCAATTAGATGGTTCATATGGAAAGAAAAGCTACTAAAATTAAGATTAGCTGATTATCTCTAAAGTAAAGTATTATATCCGAAATCATTGGGATATTTTAGCAAATTCGAACCCAAGGAAAATTGGGTCTCGTTGTTAAAATAATAATTTATAACATAAGGACCTCCAAAATATCAACATAATGATCTTCCTTTGAAGTATATAGTGGGATAAGTACATAGATTTATATTTCCAGGAATCAATATGTCTAAGTCATACTGCAAATAATTTTACTAATAAGTGTGATTAAATATAGATTGAAATGTGAGTGACACCCAAGAGCAAAATAGCTATACAAAGGTTAAACAAAAATTACTTCAATTTTATTAAATCCCTGTACAACATTGATCATTGAAATTAGAAAGTCAACCTCGGTCAATTGCTTATGAGAAGGGCAAAATTAGTTTTGTCTCATCATATGTATGATTGAATGTTCATACCAATTTTATCATTCATTAGATGCAAAAATTGTGTTCATTCATGTATGAAGAAAATTATAAATCAAGAAAATTTGAAACCAACTTAAAAAGTGGTTAAAACATATGTCTAGGACATTCATATCAAGCTTTAGTTACTGCAAGGTTATGTCTTGAAAGAAGTCATGATTTTGAGGCATGTAGAAAATGAAAAACACAGTGAAAAATTATTTACAAACAAAGGATATATAAAAACTGGATTTCGTTTGATATGTTTAGAAGTAAATTTGATTTCATTCTTGTAGATGAAATGCTCATGATTAATATCCTTGCAAAGCTTAAATGATTGAGTAACATTTTTTAGTTACACTCTAATTTTCAGCATCTTCTTGATGCAATAACAATATCTAAAATCATGCAGCATATATTTAGATTGCCCGCTGATTCACATTTCATACCATATCTATATTAGTGAATTACAACAGTCTGTATGTTGTTGCATTAAATAAGAAGTATTTAGTATAGAAACATTAATTCTATGATGAACATACAAAAGTAATACAAAAATTCATGAAATACCATCAATTTGGTAGAAATATTTTTATCAGGCCGTTATTTGAAGAAAATTGATAGATTCTTGAATGAATGAAACCTCAGTAAGAAAATTGAATTGAGGAAACTAGATATATTAGTTTATAAATGAGTGAATGGAGTTTTGTGCCGAAAAAGAAAATTAGAAAACTTACTGCAAAGAATGGACAGAGTTATGAATTGAATGGAAACAAACTGAAAGCTATAGTCAGAGTAAAGAGAGGAGAGGAAAAATAGATGATTACATAATCAAGTAAAACTATGCTTGCTTGAGTTAGTTTTCTATGAAAGAATCATCTTGAAAGGATAAATATAGTCAAGAATTCTGAAACATATGGTTATACGAGGATTGATTTTTAATCAAACCCTTAGCTTGGTCATTCTTGTTATTCAGATGCAATTGAATCACTAGTGTTTTGACTATTCTATTGCACCAAATTTTCATGTCCAAAAAAATTAAATGCAGCCTGTATTTTTAACTATGTTCACATTTATCGTGTTCTGCATTTAATCAAAGTTATCTAGTTTTGAAAAGATCAAAATTAAGAACGTGACTTTTAAATTAAAGATTTCTACCCCTTCTACTTCAAAACCAATCATGACTTGTTCTAATGATAATGATAAATTGAAAATATAAAAAAAATGGAATAAAAAAATATGTACTAGAAAAAATGCACCATGATATTTTTAGACATGATTTGAAAATCTTAAAAAAATAGTTGGTTATAAGTCATGAAGATCCTTTAATGAGGAGAAAATAATTCAACTTCAACTCAATTTTTCCAAGTCAAAAGTCAAATGTAGACATTGAATCTAGTTTATATCATTAATCATTAAATTTCTATTTCTCCACCTCCTTTGATATTGATCATGTCATGACCAAGTTCAAAATTCCATACATTGATTCTTGTGAAAATACCTTTTCCCATTTCAGATTATCAAATATTATATAAGATCACTCTTGAAGTTCTTCTTACGTAAGGAGAAAATAAATCTAAAATTGTATTCAACAATATCTCTCCCTCTGATAAGTTATATTTCAAGAGAGATTACAATCTAGTGCAAACATGATTTAAAATATAATTTTATTTCAGAAAATACACATTGAATATTCTATAGAAAATTCTATTTAAAAACCAATTTCATCACCATGAAATCAATGGTTCAACAATCTCTAGTTCTAATAGATTCAATGAAAACATAGTTCGATATTAGGTACTAACAAGTAGCTAAAATGATCTTACAATTAATGATATTACCTACATCCAAGTGACTGAAAATGAGATGAAATAATGACATGGTTCATAGAAATTCAAAATAGTGGTAAATTCACAATCATATGTCGAAGCATGTATTTAGGCTAAAATCAAAAGGCCATACAACCCACATTAAAATCTCATATTTTTTCACTTTTGATATTTTGATTGTGTTGAATTTCAAGCTTCACTTTAATTAGGAATGGGGAGAGGTATTGATCAGATCCTAATTTTTATTTTGGTCAACTTCTTCTATCTCTTTAATCTTTATTTTTTGATCTTAATCATATAACATTATAGGCCCTAAATCTAAAGCACTTTAGAATTTTTATAGTGGTTCGGCCCCCTATCATCATCTACTCTCGAAGAATACCTCATTCTTGTGTCCATGCATAATAAAAATTACAATTCTAATATTAAATATATTATAAATTATAAATTAAGAAACAAGATAATATATATAATATTTAATGACATAGAAATATAAAATAAGTAAATATAAATATACCTAAAAGTCAGTTTTAACTTTACCAGCAATTGAGCATAGATTTTTACATAGTAAAAAAAATATTTTATTCTCCTAGTAATCCTTCACCAGGCTATTGTTTCGATTCTATTCCAATGAATCATTCATAACTATTGGTACATATATACAAGAATAGGTGAGATACTAAAGTGATAATAGTTCATATACTTTTCCACAACTATCTACAAAATATGTATTTTTTCAAGACCTTATGAACTCTTTGTATTTTCTATAGTTCACCTAATCAAATATAGCCCACAATTTTGTTAAGTTATGGATAACTCAATATTATTTTAATAATTTTTAGGCATCAATTTGAAATCATAAAATTGATGGTATGAAATGTAAATTCGATTGAAGATTGATATCTTAGACAAGATTAAAGAGTATAGATTATTAAGAAATATGTTGAAGTAATTTCATCATATAGTTATGGTGTAGAAGGATAAAATTAATGATCTGCACCAGAAGAAATATTTTGTACTATTTAAAATTTTCGTCAAGGATATAAAAGTTTGATGTGAGTATAAATACAATAAAAACTTGTGTGAGGTGAATCTATTATAAGCCTATGTGAGACCTTCATATTTGGATTTTTTGTATTTTGTGGCACCATAAATATAGATATATGAGTAACAATAGAAAGCTTTGAATGAGGAGTCTAATGACAAAAAATTTTAGGAAAATTTTCAATCTTTATGATTATTTCTCTACATTTTTCAAAACTTTTGTGCAGCCCATTAAGGCCTACTTACGTCCAAGCATTTGGGCCAATAAACACAAAATGTGATGGGTCAACCTAACCCTTATAGGTGACATTTCTTTCAAATTATGATAACAAGAAAACACAAAATTAGACTAATTCAAGAGAGTTGTGCATGTTATTGGGAGTCTAGCATTTTTTTCCTCAGCCCAACACTTCTCTAGTCCTAAAATAACTCTTAATATATTAAAAAAGGTTATGGTAATTCCATTCCATGTCTATTTATTTTTGTTTTAACATATGACATTTCATCAATACAAATACACAGGTCATTGAGGCACATGTGGCATGCATATAACAATGCAATCTAGGGCTCCTAGGGTTACAATTTTACATGTAGTGGTCATGGGCTTGCAAAGCCTTATGATTGAAAGGGGGTTATAAATCATAGTAAAATCATGTATCACATTGGTGGAATAGTGGGTCAAGGTAAAATCTTCAAAAGAGGACGTAAGCCAAGAGAATTTCACGGAACCACTATAAAATCTATTGTGCACAAATTCGTCTAGATTTATTTTGTATTCATATACTAGTTTAGAAATATAATTAATATATTAATATAAAATAAAATATAAGAAAAATTACTATACTTAATAAAAAAATTAAAAATCAGGACCTCTCTTGATTTATTAAGGCATCTAGAGATCAACAGACTTTATTGTATGAAAATGTGCTAACCTTATTATTAACTTACGTATTGTTTTCACTTCAAGGCAAGAGGAAATCCCCTTCACAAATTTCATCTAAATCTTCAAACCGTTTCTTCTAGTGAATAGAACTTTTAGATCCAGACAACCATATATTATGCTTTGCAAGTGTTAGTCTAAAAGTTTTTACATTATTAAACTTGACATAGTTTAATCCTTATATTTTCATCATCTATCCAAGGAATTTCAGCACTTTATATAATACACGTGGCATTAGAATCTGATGGCTTACTCATACAATTAGCATTAGAAAACCAATAATCAAAGTCATCATATAAATACTTCCACATTGAATATTTTCAAAGTTGATGAATAACTAGTACTTCATGAGTCATCATAATCAAATAACTCATGATCAAGATCACTATGCATTCCACATTAGACAAATCCATAATTGGGTTGAATCATAATTTGTAATCAAGTGCACTATGCATTTCACTAGGTATAAATTAGAAACTACTTTGGTATAATTATGTTTTAAAATTACAACCACTATATGACAAATAAAAAGTGTGACCCATATCGTTAGAACATGAGGAGAGATAAAATTTATCAAGGGTAATGATCAGAGAGGAAGATTTGTAGCTTGAGCCAAAGAAGAATGTGACACCCCTCCCCTAATAGGAGAGGAGAGAGAGTACAGTGAGCAATGAAGAACGTTGTGAGCTTGAGTTCATTCGATCCCTTAAGAAGGGTAGGTTAGTCTTTTCATTCACTGTAGTTGAATAGATTCCCATCATAGCGTTAGTGTAGAGAGGAGCTTTCTCAATACCAAGTGCAAAGATAGGTTTATCCCTAAACCAATTAGTTTACAAGGACCTATTCATAAATAGCCTTGAAAAATACTACTCCCTCCTTCCAGCGCCGACACCCATCTCTCCATCCAGCAGCCCGATTTTGTCCGGGCCATATTATGCAAAAGTCCTCAATTGCTTAATCTATTTCATGGGCCTCATATAATATTTTAAATCATAAACACTTGAAGGTAGTATAAATATCGTCTCTTCGTCAGCTCTTTTTTATCTAGGTTTTTATGGGTTAATTATATGTAGAGGACTCTCTCTCTCTCTCTCTCTCTCTCTCTCTCTCTCTCTCTCTCTCTCTCTCTCTCTCTCTCTCTCTCTCTCTCTCTCTCTCTCAAGGAGGTGGAGGGGTCGGGGTCGGGAGAAGGACGATGAGAGAGAAAGCCCAACTGCAGTTTATTACCGGTTGAATAAATCCAGCTAGACTAAGAGACACCACCTAACGACCTGACCCGTGGTGGTTCGAACCAAGGGTAAACCAAAAATAAGGAGTAAAGTATAAATTACCCATCCCGGCCGACAGCGCCTGGAGGTTCATTCAAGAGGTTTCAAACATATATACTTAAAAATCAGGCCCTTTTAAAACTTCTATCAAGTATAAGGTATTAAAAGAAATTAGCAGAGAGAGAGAGAGAGAGAGGGAGAAAGGAGGCTGGTGGCTCAGTAGTTGCTGTCTCCAGTCTGTCGCGTCACTCCCGCTCCCCGGCCCTACACCGTCTAAGAGGGAGATCATGATGTGGTATCACATCATGATGTTATGATCTGTCTCTCACACCAGCCAGGGGGTGGGACGGAGGGGATTACCCCCATGGGTGTCGGTGGATTAAAGCTTCCCTCGTGGGCCCCACGTCTCTTCTCTCTCCTCGACCTACTGCGGAGGAGGACTCCGACTGAAAGATGCCTCCCAACCCCTTCCTCACCTTCTTCTATCTTCCTCCTCCCCTCTCTCTGCTCTGTGACGGCTGATCCGAAGAAGCTCTGCGAGGAGGAAGAGATCCCGAGCTACAGGTAAAGGCGCCAACTTTAATCGTCTCTTCTCTTCGTAGATGCCTCCCCTCCTTCTTCCTCGTCGAATGCGAGAGAGAGAGAGAAAGAGATAGAGGGATCTGGATTTTGGTCTGCATTTGATTACATGGTGTTTATTTTCTTTTCCGTGGGTTGCAGGCAAGAGCTGAGGGACGATGGATAAACGCTGGGCGCTGGTTTCTGTGGTTCTGGGCCTGCTTGTGATGGCGGGGCCGGCGATGGGGAAGAAGGAGAAGATGTGTGACAAGGGATGGGAGTGCAGGGGGCCGAGCGTCTACTGCTGCAACGCCACCATCATGGATCTCTTCCAGGTCTACCAGTTCGAGAACCTCTTCTCCAAACGCAACGCCCCCGTGGCCCACGCCATCGGCTTCTGGGACTATCAGGCCTTCATCACCGCCGCCGCCCTCTTCGAGCCCCTCGGCTTCGGCACCACCGGCGGCAAGCAGATGCAGATGAAGGAGATCGCCGCCTTCTTCGGCCATGTCGGGAGCAAGACCTCCTGTGAGTAATCTACCCTTTCCCCTTGTTCTTCCATGTTGGATATGGTCGTAGCTCGTTTTTAAAAGTCACCACAACGCAGTCGGGTGAGAATTCTTCCTCCTTCTTGGTCTTTTTCATGCGATGATTTCACCCTTGCATGCTCTTTCTCGCCCATAGATTCTCCATGCAATGCAACCACAGATCTGGATGCCGCTCCTCTGTTTAATCCATTAATTCATGCGAGAGCTTCAAACCAACGACAATCCTGATGAATTGCATGATTCCTCTGCCATCAAGGAAGATGGCAGAGCTCATTGGAAGCAACTCTGGTCGATCCTCAACTGCTGATTCCCGCTTTCTATGCTCGCCAGATCTATGATCGGATATTACCAGCTGGAGAAGAAGAGTATCATCAAACCATATCTGATCCAGAGTCCTCCAAGAAACGAATGATCTATGGCGAAACAAGGAGAAAACGATTCTCCCCATCTAATTTCTCCCTTTGGTTCCATAAATCCTCGCATTCTTTTGACATCATGCTTCTTCCTTTGGCACAATGTGCGCAATAAATTTTGCAAATTCCGTGGCCAATCTACCATTTTCTGAGATACCCACATTGCGAAAAGTCGCATTATCCACCTGGGATTGATCATGAATGACTTGCTCGTAGGTGGCTATGGCGTTGCCACCGGCGGCCCTCTTGCATGGGGGCTGTGCTACAACCGTGAGCTCAGCCCCAACCAGGACTACTGCGCTGAAAGCTACGAATACCCTTGCAGCCCAGGTGCTCTGTACCATGGTCGTGGCGCGCTACCTGTGTACTGGTATGAATACATACATCTGCCTCTCCTCTTCCCCTTCTTGAACAAGAGCTTGAAGCTTCTTAACCCACACTATCTGTGTTTTGTTCTGGACAAATCCAGGAACACCAACTATGGTGTCATCGGTGAAGGAATCAAAGTGGACCTTCTTAGCCACCCAGAGTACCTCGAGCAGAACGCCACCCTGGCCTTCCAGGCGGCAATATGGCGGTGGATGACACCGATGAAGAAGAAGCAGCCCTCTGCCCATGACGTCTTCGTTGGCAACTGGAAGCCCACCAAGAACGACACCCTGTCGAATAGGTTGCCCGGGTTTGGTGCCACCATGAACATCCTCTACGGCGACCTGGCCTGCGGCCAGGGGTTCGTCGACTCCATGAACAACGTCATCTCCCACTACCAGCAGTACCTCGATCTGATGGGCGTCGGCCGCCAGTTCTCTGGCGACAACCTGGACTGCGCAGAGCAGCTGGCTTTCAACCCTACTGGAAAAACTGCATCCACCTGAGCTAAAAATCTCCACCAAAGGTACCCATGTGTCTACCTGATCCTCTAAGGGGGCTAGGAGGACACGGAAATTTAGTACTATGATTATGTTGTTGATTGCCCTTGAATATAGATATTCAAAAATAGTATCCGTGTGAATTTGTTCTTCTTTGTGAGAATTTGGAGGGTTGAATCCATATTTGCTGCTCCACATGGCAGGCTGGTCTCACAAGGCTGCTGTGCTGTGTGACTAGATTATGTTCTGTTGATGCTCCTCTGTTGGGGGTTGAAGCACAGAGTGGCCATTCTTGCCACTCATGTGAGTTATCACCATGTCAATTGTCTCATAAAGATCTCGTTATTCATATTATTGCTGTTTGTGAATACTGAATTTTTTGTATTTTTCTCCACAATCTGATTCTCTCCTCTGTCGAGCGAGGCTGGCGGCCATTTCTCAATTCATTTCTTTTTGTCGGTTTGTTCCCTAAGCCATGGTTTTGCTCATCTACTGCCTTACCATGGATCTCTCTATGTGTTCCCATCTTCTTGGATGACTCCCTCTCTCTAGCTGCATGGTATGATATGATAATAAGCTTGAAAGGTTGATGATTAGAGTTCTAGAGCTGAAAAAAAATATGATTGTTGAAAACAAGCTTGGGAGGAGTGAAACCTGGAATGAAGTGGAGGAAAGAAGCCTATGTCTCCAAGAAAGAGGGAAGGAATGGTGAAAAACCATCTTGTGCTTTGTTGACCTTTATCACCCTTTAAATAGAGAGAGATAATAGAGAGAGAGACAAAGAGAGAGAGAGAGAGAGAGAGATAGCCCTATATAACCTTTCCCAAAATGCCCTTAGGGTTTTCCGATTTCCCCCCCACAATATGATCACTATTTAGAACTCTAACACAGTTCATCTATCTAAGTTGTAGAATATGACAGAATATATAGTTATTATGAAGGTTCCAGTATCGGCCTTATTTTGTTTAAAGTGCATAAAAATATATTGGTATCGAGATTTAATTCTCTAATTACCCGCATTCACCAGTTGCATGCACATCCGCTATCAATATTTCTAATCATTAATATTGTCTTTTATATTTATTATAAAAATATTTTGAACATTTTCTCTTTGGCCTTCTTGGCTGATATTATCCTGCCAAGGTGTCCCATTAACAAAGTTTACAAAGTATTATGTTTGAGCCTTGACAATGTCCAATCTAAAATGCATCTCTCTCTCTCTCTCTCTCTCTCTCTCTCTCTCTCTCTCTCTCTCTCTTGCTAGGTCTGATTTCAAAAGGAATTTGTTCGATATTTATCTATGCTGAATCTGCATCAGACAAATGATATGATAGGAATTACATTAGTAAGATCGAAATATAGGAAATTTTGACTACTGCAGAGATAATGGGAACTCTAGAGAGAGAGAGAGAGGGTTTTTAGGTACAAAGCATTAGATCTCCAAAAGCAGTTGCATGTTGACATTATTTATTGGGGTTTTTCTATAATGAGAGAAACTATATTACCACATAAAAATAGATTTTTTCTCTCGTAGTGTGGAGAAGCTGGAATCCATAAAATGCTGTTATGATCATATTAATACATTTATTAATAAATTATAATTCGTACTTTTTAGGAAACTTAATGGTCGCCCGAGTTAGACGATATACCGAATCTAATTTTCTATTTATTATTAATTTACGACCAAATATTTAATTATTTATATTAATTTATTCGGCGAGCTCACGGAGATCGCCACTTGTCCTCCCTTCCAGCCTACCCATTTCTTCATATCTCCTCTCTCCTAAACGCTCCATTCTCTCTCTACCCATCACATAGAAGATGGAAATGGACGGCCTGGATTTCCCTGGGGCTGTTGGCGGGTAAGACGTCGCTGTCGTCTTGGTTGTACTTAGTGCGCAGAGAACCCCTCCCAAAGCTTCGTTGCTCCTCAGGCAGGTTGGTGGCTGGTGCGAGCGAAGACTTGCCTTGAGGAAGCAGAAGGCGGCGGCGGCGGCGGCGGCGTCGGCGTTGGAAAGGAGGAAGCAGAGGAGGTAGGTGACGGCATTCGTGGATCAATGGCTTCCGCTGCGCACTCGTCCTCGCCGGATCTCCTTCGAACCCCCTTTGAATGCGCCGCCACCGCCTTCACGATCTCTCGTTCTTCAGCCCCCCAGAGAGGAGCGAGGAAGTTTGATCATGTTCTGTATGATGAGGAATCGCAGGCGAGTGCGGGTCGATGATGGGCGGGCGCTGGGCGGCGGCGGTGGCGGTGGTGGCGCTGCTGGTGGCGGCGGCGGGGCCGGCGGTGGGGAAGAAGGAGAAGGAGAAGATGTGTGACAAGGGATGGGAGTGCAGGGGGCCGAGCGTCTACTGCTGCAACGCCACCATTATGGATCTCTTCCAGGTCTACCAGTTCGAGAACCTCTTCCCCAATCGCAACGCCCCCGTGGCCCACGCCGTCGGTCTCTGGGACTACCAGGCCTTCATCACCGCCGCGGCCCTCTTCGAGCCACTCGGCTTCGGCACCACCGGCGGCAAGCAGATGCAGATGAAGGAGATCGCCGCCTTCTTCGGCCACGTCGGGAGCAAGACCTCATGTGAGTAATCCCTATTCAGAAACCCTGATTAATCAGATCCAGTCAGAAACCCGTAGAACCCTAATCCTCAGATCCTATATCCTCTTCTCCCCCTTCTTCCAGAATCGACAGATCCGCCTGAATCTCGATCTGGTTTCTTGCAGGTGGATATGGCGTCGCCACCGGCGGCCCCCTGGCTTGGGGACTCTGCTACAACCGCGAGATGAGCCCCAGCCAGGACTACTGCGCAGAAAACTCCGACTATCCTTGCAGCCCCGGTGTCCTATACTACGGCCGCGGCGCTCTCCCCGTCTACTGGTACGCATCCTTCTTCCTCCCCCTCCTTTTCTTCTTCATCTTCATCCTTCTTCTTCGTCTTCTTCGTCTGGTCTCTGATTCATCGGCTCTCAGGAACTACAACTACGGGGTCATCGGGGAGGGAATCAAGGCCGACCTTCTGAATCACCCGGAGTACCTCGAGCAGAACGCCACCCTAGCCTTCCAGGCTGCGATATGGCGGTGGATGACGCCGATGAAGAAGAAGCAGCCCTCCGCTCACGACGTCTTCGTCGGCAACTGGAAGCCCACCAAGAACGACACCCTGTCGAAGAGAGTGCCCGGGTTTGGTGCCACCATGAACGTCCTCTATGGCGACCTGGTCTGCGGCCAGGGTTACATCGACTCCATGAACAACATCATCTCCCATTACCAATTCTACCTCGATCTGATGGGCGTCGGCCGCCAGTACTCCGGCGACAATCTGGACTGCGCAGAGCAGCTCGCCTTCAACCCCTCCGGCAAGGACGCCACCTCCTCCTCCTGAACCACCACCCCCTGGTTCTCCTCCCCCTCCTCCGGCTGCCTGCTTCAAAAGCTTTCTGTGTCGGTTCTGCGAATAATCTCCTCCGACTGCCTTCTTCTATCAGAGCCATGGGTTCTTGTTGGCCGGTCGTTCCCATGCTGTCTGATGTTTCTGTCCCCTGATCGCAGACCTGTGTGGATGTTGATCATGTTGAAGGTGATGAGCTTCTGGGTGGTTCAGCTCGAAAATTTTCCTCCAATTTCTTAATTTTCAGCTCGAAAACTTGCCATTTTCTCGATCGATCTCTTCGGTTTAATATCGTCTGATGTTGTCTTCAGCTGAATATAATCCTTCAAAGAATTACTAGAATAATATCATTCCAACCATATCATATGATTATCAGCGTATTTAGGTGACTACGATCTACCCCAGTTGGCTATGATAAGTTGAAGACTAATAACTAATGAATTGAAGAATCTTGACCTGGTAGATCGATACGGCCATGAATGAGGATGAGCAGTAGCTTGCTTAATCAATTAAAAAAAATGAAAAAAAGATGTTCTTCCCTCCTAAGGCACATCCCAATTTTATGATTCAACTCTTATGAAATCTAAACTTGACATGGGCAAAGCCCCAACATGTGAGAAGTTGGAGTGTGTAGAGAGAGAGAGAGGGAAAGCAGCCATTTTCAGGGACAGCTCACAAGAAATGGCAGCTTTCGGTCTCCAGAGATTACAGCCCGGCAGTACTAATCGACCGTCGGGTTCCACTCTCTCTCTCTCTCTCTCTCTCTCTCTAGATATATATATATATATATCTCGCTGACCCAGTCACCCTCTTTCTTCTCTTTCTTCTGACCCTGCCCGCTTCATCGAGGAGGGCAGATGCGGTGGTGCCGGAGCTTCAATCCTTCCTCTGGGAACTCATCGGAGACTCCCACCCCGCGGGGTCCCGTCCGTCAATCCTCCTCTGCCGGCCAATCAGAGCATGAGGCCCCGCAGCCGCCCAGTTTGCCCTCCGATGGCACCCCCCGCGGCGGCGCTGCCTCCCCATCCACCTTCAACCTGCTCACCCGCGAGTACACCCGCACCATCCAAACAACACACGTCGTCGACATCAAGTCCAAGCTCCAGTCTTTCTCCTCCGGCGCCGGCGACGACTCGGCCGCCGATTTAGGGGGAGTAGCGGCGCCGCCGCTGCTGGGGTTATCGAGGTCGGCCCATCTGCTGTCGGAGGTTCTCCAGCCCGACAGGGAATCGGTGGAGGAGGCTCTCCGCCGCGTCCGCTCTGGTCGCCTCTCCCGGATCGTCTCCGATTACTTCGGCGGCAGCGAGAGCACCTCCCGTCTCTGCCTGCGCCTCCACGGCCGCATAGAATGCGCTCGCGCCATCTACACCCCTCTCCTGAATCTCCTCGAAGACCTCCCCAGCGCCGCGACCACCGCCGGCACCACCGCCGCCTCGTCCCCCGCGTCGATCGCCTCGCCGTCCTCCTGCCAGAACCGACACCGCCCCCGCCGCCGCAGCCACCAATTTCTCTCCCCGTCGCAGTGTGAATGGGTCCTGCAAGTCTTCAAGGAGTTCTACGTCAAAGAGAACCCGTTCAGTGGCGCCGCCGGGTTCCCGGAGATGTGTAGATGCCTCGACGAGCTCCGCGAGGAGCTCAGAGCCTGCCTCCGACTGGCGCGGCGGCGAGCCCGCCTCCTCCCCGGCGTCGCCGTCTACTCCGCCGTCTGCCTCATCGGCTCCGCCCTGGCCATCACCCTCGGCGTGCTCCTCGCCGCGCACGCCCTCCCCGCCATGGGAGCAGCTCTGGTGGGCTTCCTCCGGTGCCCCGCCGACCCACTGGCCCCCAAGAAGCGGCGGCTGACAGAGCACATCGCCCAGCTTGATGCTGCCGCCAAGGGAGTCTTCGTGCTGAGAAATCACCTGAACACCGTTGAGAGACTAGTTCGCCGGGTGGACGAGGCGGTGGAGGACGACAGGGGTCTGGTCTTGCAGGCCCTCACCGTCGCCGAAGGAGACCGCCGCTTCGTCGAAGCTACATTGAGGCAGCTCCGGCCGACCAGGGCGCCGCTGCACAGGATGCTCCAGGAGCTCGAGGACCACGTCTGCCACTGCTGCACCACCATCAATAACGCCCGCAACCTCCTTTTCGAGCTCATTGACCGTCGCCATGGCCGCCGCCGGACAGCCGCCGGGTCCTCGGATGAGCAGGGCAGCTAATTTGTTTTTTTCAACGCGGATAGTAGGCTGGAAAATCCATTTTTTCTTCTTTTTTTTTCAAAATCCTTGGTCTCCTAGAAAAATTTCTCAGCCATTGTTATGATCTTAGCTGACCTCTACCTTGTTCTTCCCACGCATGAACCTTCACGCTGTGCAATAAATAAAAGGGAACAAGGAAAAGGGCAGGAGAGAGAGGTCTAATTGCGACTATTTCACCATATTCATACTCTAAATCGATGAATGTGTGTGGGTATTTAGCTGTTTCTGAGTTGCCCAGGTACCCAGATTACCTCCCAGATGAATGGAAACCACGGGGCGCGGTACAAAAGAAATAAAAGTCTTCTTTTTTTCTCATCCCATTTTTCCAGTGATGCTGCTGGAAAAGTTTGGGGGAAGAAAGCTGATCAAATGGCTCTTGCTACTGGTGATTGCTTTGACGATTCATGGGGCTTTTTCGGATCCTTGACCGCGCAATCAGGTCAACGCGGCGGTCTTATTCTCTGTGGGGCCGGCGCTGATTATTCGCTTGGAATTTCTGATGATGCAGTTGTTTATTTTCTTCACAGCCTGCCTCTCAACCTCCCGGGGGGAATTCCCTCATCTCATTGGCCTCATTTCTCGCATACTTTGACCTTCAGAGCCCATCAAGTTGGTAAAAAGATCATGGTTGCTCTTCTTATCATCAAAGTCAATGATCCGGGTTTCAACCAAGACGAACCACCAGAGAAGAAAAAACTCAGCTGGGTTGAAACACAGGCCCAAACCAAAGTTTGACCAGATGACCTCCAGCCCTCATCTTCTGAGCTGTGGATCTGCTGCTCGAAATTTGAGCCCACCTAATTCTTTTCTCTTTCCATGGAAGCCCTACCCACCCTCTAAGACTGCTATTTCTGGCTTGGAAAGCTTTACAGCCCACTGGTGATGGGGACCCATAGACTCCCGCAGCTACGATGAGCCGTGGGGGGTCTTCCTCCTGAGCCAGTTGGCCATTCGAGGAAGTCAAGGTCTCTGGAGGTCCGATCGGGCCCGGTCCGTAGACTCCCCCCCAGCTATGGGCCAGTTTCTCCTTTTCTGGCAGTCAACGCCGCTTGGATTGAAGAATCTTCTCTTCTGCTTTCTCTATTATCGGCGCCCTTCCCGGATTCTTCCTAAACGTGGGCAGTGGGGAGGCCAGACCTGCTACGGCCTTGAATCATCATCCGTTGACTAAACCCAGAGAGAGAGAGAGAGAGAGAGAGAGAGAGAGAGAGGCAACCTTCTTTGTCCTGATCAGAATCCTTCCCAGATTTTTAGGAACCGTGAGATCAAAATTTTCTAATTTTCAAATGCAAGAACACGGACGAACTTCTTTGTTTATTAAATGCTAAAAAATATATAGGTTTTATTTCTATTACATAAATAAACTGAAGCAACCTTATCTTAGATTTAAGGTATTTAGATAGGGTACTTATTTTTTTAAAAGAGATGCTCGGCTTTCATTATTCCATCAAAAAATAGAAATCATCAACTTTGCCATTTTCTGCATAGATCTTATCTTGAATAATAGTTTTACTAATGATAATAATATTAAAATTTATTTCACAGGTCAAATCAAATTTACACAGATTTATCCTCAGCTATTTCAACTGTAAAAAAATATAAATCATCACCGGCGTCATTTTCAGCATGACACAGATAATTTACATCGGATAATAATAACAATGACACTCGGATTCTTTCTCACTCTAAGCGCATGCAATCAGGTCAGAAGATATGAGCATGTGATGTACATATATGCCATTAATTAGGCTGGATTCCTCATTAAAATAACCTATCAACAAAATTAGAGTTTGCTTGAGACTCGAGGATCCCATGAAGATTGATCTACATGAATGAGTCAACGGCCCATGGAAACACAGGAGTCAACGAGCAACCCTCCTCAAGAACACAACACAGCAACAGGGTGGCTACATCCTATAATCTCGCCACCTCCATAGCAATTAAAAACAAGAAGTAAAGGAAGAGGGAGCTGTAATCCTCTATCGGCATTTGACCTGTTGATCGACTGAAGAGACCACCATCTACCTCTTCCTCCTGCTTCTTCTTCGTCTGTTATATATACCTGGGACAAATGGAGAACCCCGCGGCTCGAAGGGAGCAGGGCACTCAAAAGTCGTTGACTTTTGTCCGATTGGTCTTGGTCGACCAGGCTGTACAAATCTGTTCTGACCACCGAGTGACTGAACTATGAAGAGATAAGTCTTCCAACGAGAGCTTTCAGGACCTTGACGACGAGGCTAATGGTCAACACCCAGAGCACAGCTCCTAGTGCGATCAGGAATGAGAGGAAGAGCAGGCCCCTGTCGGGGCCCTCTCCGCTCCGCCTCCCTTGGACGGTCCCTCCTGTTAGATCTCCAGGGTCTCTGGGTCTTGCACACCCAACCCTGAAGCTTGAGACCCGCTCCAATGCCCGGCCGACGAACTCGTTCTCAGAAGCAAAAGCTGGCTTGGTGGGCACAGAATTGATCAGCATGGTGGAGACAGAGCTCCACCAGGAGCCAGAGCCACCTTCACCGTCGCCCTCCTGCTGGAGAACCGCCTGAGTGTGTTGCTCGATGCCTACAATGTTTGAAGGCATAAGAAGATAAAGAGAAGCTAGTAGTAAACCTATCAGCATTGTGGTCAATAATCCACGTTCTTCTTCTTCTTCTTCTTCTTCTTCTTTCTTTTTATTTATTTCTTTTTTCTTTTTTTTTGTTAACTACATGGGCAGGACTACTTTCAGTCAAGTACCTGAGGGTGGAGCCACTGAGGAACAATGGTCGTGTTCCCAGAGCTGGGTGGTGACCTGAGCTCCATGGAATCCATTGAAACCTTCTTGATACGGATTGGGGGCCATATGATCGAGAATATTGGGTGTTCCCAGAAGAACCATGGCCGAGAATAAGTCATCGCTGGGATCATAGAAGACATCCTCCAATTGGGGCAAGCCGGGTTCCATGAAATCATCAAGGTCAACGACCTCCAAGAAGTCGTCAACCTTGTCCACCTGGGTTTGGTCGAAATAATCCAAATCTGATGTCAATTGGGGCCCTTCTGACGGTTGACCTGCTGCATGGTGTGAAATCTCAGAGTCGCCCTCTATGGCTGCTGTTCCATCAGGGCCGCCCCAATCGAAGCTCTCATCACCAGGAGAAGCCGCCAGAAGGGAAGCCATTAGCGTGCTGCTCTCCAGTTCATTTTCTAAAGCAACCTGCAAGACGAGAGACGATCTTTGATATTTACACAGGACTTGGCGAATTATTTCAAAGCCGCATGGAAGTTAAGTTGACGAAAACTTTCCCACCTCCGATGTGATCTCCAAGATATCTAAACTCTGAGTTGCAGGCTGCGAATCTGTTGTTTGATCGTTCTCGGCCTGCATCAGAAGCATCTCCAGCTCATCCATGGGGAGATCACTGCCATCTCCCCTGCTCTGCGCCGTGGCCATAACATCAAGAGAGGGAAGCACCCGTGGAACAGTTTCAGTGTCATCTGGGCCAGTCACTGTGTCGTCGACTGCTTCCTCATCTACCCACTCCTCTTCTCTGAAAGGAGCCCCATACTGCTCCCCATTCCTGGGGCCTGGTCCGCTCTTCTCATACACCTTGTAAACGGCGAAAGAATCCTGCAAATATTTTGGAGAAGACTAATAATTACACCCAGGAATCGAGCGAGAACAGAAGGAGAGCAGTCTCAGACTTGTCCAAAAACCTGTGCTTTTCTGACATTGGAGAGCTCCTGCTCGTCCATGGTGTACTCGTGCATCACCCAATTGGTGCGCTCGCCTTTCGGGGCGCGTCCATGGTAGAATACCAGGGTTTTCTTCATGCCCACCAGACGTGAGCTGTGGGAGATGGGCCGGTCCTTGCCGGTGGTCTTCCAGTACCCAGTCTTGGTGGCCCTGTTCGATCTCCATCCATTTGGGTACTTCCTGTCCCTGGGGCTGAAGAAGTACCACTGCTTGTCGCCGGTCTTCAGGATCGATTTCTCTGTTCAAGGGAAAAAAAAAACAAGAGAAGAAGCATTTAGTCTCAAGAACAAACACATCAGAAATGAAGGAGACTCGCTGTGGCTACAGGGATCATTCCAAGAGATCATCCCGCGAGATGATGGAAATCAAGAAGGAAAAGAGGAAGGATCTACCAATAGAAAAAAACTCGTCGGGGAAGACCACAGGAGGCAGAAGAAGGTGAGATTCCCAGAGTAAAGAGCTTCACTCCGGAGGAATTCTGTCGATCAACCGGAAAAAGGAAGGGCGAGAGAGGGATGCCATTTAGGTCACAACCACGCTTAACGAGTCTCTGAAATTAGGTTTACCCTTCCCCTTTTCATGAGAGGACTCCATTGATTACAAAGCTTCGTGACGAAAAGCTCGCGATCCGCTGTGACGGAACAATTGCTCTCAGCCGAAAACAAATGAAAGCATTGGTGGGATGAAGCGGCGAAAGGGAATTCAGGAATCGCCGTAAAACGAAGATGAAGTCAGGCGCGACGGCATCAGACGATCGCGTCGGCGGGGGTGGAGGGATGTCCGAGAGAAATTCGGAGGAGCAGGGGACGATCACACAATAAACAAAGATATAGCTCACGGAATTCGATCCTGTAGACGATGGCGAGTTTTCTGAGGAGAATTATACCAGGCAGCTCCCAGGGCTCGCACTTATAGACGTCCACCTCGCCGATCATATCCATCTGGATGCGGCGGCGGCAGATCCTCCTCTTGAGGTAGTACAGAACCAGCTCCTCGTCCGTCGGATGAAACCGGAAGCCCGGGGGCCACCTCGACGGCTTCTTCTTCTTCCTCCCTTCTCCCAAAGCGGCGGTGTTCTCCAGCAGCGCCGCCAGTCCTCCATCCTCCTCCCCGTACTCCCCGCTGTCGTTCTCCGAGACCGGAGGCACCGCTCGGGCACCTCCGCCGCCGCTCCAACCCGACGTCACCACCACCATCGCCGCCTTCTGCAAGGGACGCGACGGACCCAATGACCAGCGAGAGACAGAGAGAGAGAGAGAGTGACAGAGATATAGACCGAGAGAGAGAGAGAGAGAGCTTGGACTGCCTCTTCCCGGCTAGCTATTTGATTGGAGAGAGTTGGTGCTCGCGCCTTCGAAGAAACCGGTCACTAACCAGAGGTTCACTCAGCGGCGCGGCTCATTCTTAGCCGGCTTCACTCAGGAATGGCCAGCTAACAGCCGGCGGTGGCGGCGGTAGGCGGCGGTTGAGCCGAAGAGCCGAGCCAAGCTCCAGTTTATTAAACCGGGGTTACGAAACCGTGGTTAACGAAACCCGACTGGGACATCTTCGGACCTTTGACGGGGTCCAAAACGGGAGCCCCGGGGGTGGTTACGTGTCTCCCTGAAGACGCTCCGAAGCATGCGTCTTCAGCCAAGACGAAACCTTTATTTGGTCTCTGTCTACGGGGAGAAAACTACCCTTTGATCCGAACCGCGTTGGCCCTCTCTAATCCTAATTTTGTTTCTACCACGAGAAAAAAGGGGGATGAAAAAAATATTTTTTAAAAAAGAAAATAAAGTGAAAAAAAGGTTTCTACCACGCATTATTGGCCCATCAACTTAGCTGATTAAAAACCCAATTTTGTTTGATCATTTGATCCTTTGGGTTCCCCCACCCCCCCCTCCTAAACCCAAACCCACAAGGTCTTCCATTCATCCTTGACCCATTATGAAATATTTTAATAAATAAAGATAAGTTTACCCTCCGATAAATCAAGAAAATAATTTTTTAGTGCAAATTATTATATATTATTAAAGCTTGGCTTTAGAAACTCTAGCAGAGACAATGGGGGCATCGAAAACAATTTGGCTTTAACCATGTTTGTAAACCATTTGAGAACTCCCCCAATACTTCTGTGACCATGAAGAATACGAAAAAGTATTTGACAATATGCATGTCAGGGTTGAAAAATGATAAAGACAAGTAAGTGAGTAATCTGCTTCTAAATATAGTCAACTCATTTCATTTATTTAATGTGATTTTTTTGTTGCTCTAGATTGTATCCAATGTGCCTCTTATAAGATAGCCTAGTGAATAATTGTTCGTGTGTGCAATATCATAGCTTATTGTACAACTGTTCTTCTGTGTAGAATGATAGCTCAGTGAATAATCTTTCTTGTGTGCAGTATCATAAATACTTTGATTATAGTTTATACTTAACACTCTTTCTACATATCTAGAAATAAATAAAACATTTATATAGTGTGGAGATATTGATTTCAGTTCCTTTGGACTAGATGAAGGCAAAGTCATTGAGTAATGTTTTAATCATCCATAATGTTTATCATTAAAAGTGATTATCCTAGGCAATACTCAAAGAATAAATGAGTGGAACACTACGTCAATACACTTTAATAGTCATTTTAATCGTAAAATAATGATATTTAAACCAAATGTTAAATCCCTCTATTGATTGTGAATGTTTATATATAGTAGCATTGTATCAACAGGGGATGTGAATTGATCTTTCCCTTTTTTTCTTGTTCCTTACATGCTCTTACTCACTTTTTCTTTATATAACATGAGTCAAATGGGAAAATTGTTTCATAATGAAAACTTGTAAAACTTCAGCACTTACAAAATAATTAGATTTAGATGATCAAAAATGAGTTAGCATTCACATAAAAAATTCAAATTGCAAAAAGAACAGCTAAATAGGAAGCTGAAATTAAAATTTCCTATGTTTGTCTACCAATGACAAACATAATGATGTAGAAAGAAATTGAGCACAAATCCACTACAAAAATGCTAAAAGAGTAGAAGGATTAGTCCAACCTCATCATGTGTCTATCACCCACATTATGTAATTAGCCAAAATAAAAATAAAATGTTATTGAGATAGAAATTAAATGTGCAAGCTACCCACAACATCACTCTACTGTTCTCCGTTTGTCACCTAGACATAACTCAATTCTTGGAGACAAAAAGTTCCCTTGGTGCCACCACCTCCACATCATTTGTTAGGGTTCACCCATTTCCCCCCTTCTCTCCTAATTTATTTCCCTTATTTCTACATGTAAGTTACCAAAACAATGGGCATGGTATTGGGCCTAGCAATACCCGCCCTAGTAGTTCCACCTTGGCATTCAAAAATGCATTAAAAGTCCAAGAAAAGTTATGTTTTCCTAATTCTAACTTTACGAGCACCTTATTGTCAATTGCAAAATACTTCTCAAGGCTATAAACCTTCAACAATCTATTACGAAAGTAGATTACAAGATCAAGAAAATTTTCTCAAAAATATTATAAAAATTTAAGCAAAAATCCATGAAGTGAATTTTATAATTTATTTTAATGTTTTTTTCATTCCATTTTTTTTATTTTACATCAATTGATGTGACATATCAATTTGACACATTAATATCTTTCACAAAATAAGAGTTAAGGTTCTTTTTAAATAATGCATCTACATATATATATGTATACATGTTGTAGAACGAGATATTGGACTCATACCAAAATCATTATCTATTTGTATACATATTAAATTTATTATTTTGTTTGCATCATTTCCATTTGCATAAGTGAAATATAATTTACCAAATCAAAACCATTGGGTCTATTCCAATATAAATAGGTGCATTCATTTTCTAATTTTGAATTCTAGTTTTCCACTTTTACCCTTCTCTCTCTAATCTCACAAGCCAATGACTCTCTCGTCATTGGTAGTGCCTTCTCCAACTAACACTGAGTTCGACATAGTGTAAGGACAGTCCAAGTGATACTGTTATGTTTCTATTGATCCTCTAGAATGCTTCAGTAGTTGGTTCTCTCATTTTTATGATTGATCAAGGGAAGAGAATTCTAGTTTGCCCTACACCTGAAATCTATTTCATGAACTATTTTTATTGATGATTAGTGGATGATTGATAGTGTATGATACTTCTTAAATGTTCTTAAGATCGATCTCAACTTTCCTACCCTACCCTACCCTCCAATATGCAAGGGTGAGATAACAACTTGATCCATCATGGGGAGAGAAATTTATGATTTCTCTTCAAACAAAAATGTATTTCTTGAATTGGCCTTATTTACCATCACATGGAAAGTGAGAGCAGAATATTTAATGAATAATGATATAATAAATTTTATGCTTAAAGTGAGAACACTCTAAATTATATTTAGAACTTCTTAATATCCTTAGTAATTGGATGGAAGAAACTTGTTCTAGTGAAGTGAATTTATTGAAGTTGTTTCAGCTTGTAGAGGAAATTTTATTCATTGATATGATCAGTCATTGGAATCACAAATCCTCAATTATGAGCTTGACAAGAGTAAGATGTGATCATTAAGATGAATTTAGAATACAATGATTTATGAAGCCAAAGGAAACTACTTATTTCTACCTTTAGTTAAGGATATTTGAAAAAAATAAGACTTTCTCAAAAAAATATGATGGGCCACAAATAGAACTGTTGTAAAACAAGGGAATATATTAGTTAGAGAATATACAAATGAACTTGAATATTTATGGTAGGAAATAGATGTAGACTGATAACAATAAAAATCATGAGGATGTTTATTTCATGTGATATTATATTGTGATAAATCAGAGTTACAACTTTTTCAATGGGCTTAATATGGAATATGATTGAATTCAGGCCCAAATTTTTGGAAGAGGAAAATTTCCGAAATTAGAAGAAACAATTACTATCATAAAGAGTGAGAGAGTTAAAATAATCTTGTTAGAGCCACAAAAAATCAATAACTCAGCCTTTGTGACAACACATAAGTAAAGATCTACTTCAACAACAAGATCAAGTGAGGAAATGTGACTACAAGAATACTATATGATACACTTATTTCACATGAACATGACACATTAGGGATTGATGCTTCAAGCTTCATGAAAGACCTCAAATAGCTGATAAAATTCACTCACCATCATACTAACTTTTAAAGGAGTGGTAACACTAGAGGCAAATATTCCTAAAGTATTAGAAAGTTTGAAAGTTGAGATGGAGAGCACATAATCAACTATGACATGCAACACATCGCGTCACTTTAGGGAGAGTCCTTGATCCTTTATATTGGATGTCAAATGTAATTATTTTCCTACTTCCATGGGTTTTAGATATTGGTCGCCTAGTATGTTCTTCAAAGACATGAACCGACTCTAAGATTTGATAGATTCAAGAAATCACCAATAACTTAGTTTGATAGATGTACAAAAGCGATGTGAAAGATAGATTATGTATCCAGTAATAGAAACCATAATCTATTTATTAAACACTTATCTTCAAGAGGAACTATAGTCATGTTAGTGTATATAGATGATATAATAATGATATGAAATGATGAGAAAGAAAAAGAACACAAGTAATAGTTTATTAAAGATTTTGATGTTAACATTTTGTGAGAATTAAAATATTTTCTAAGTTTTGAGGTGGCTCATTCAAAATAAAGAATACTTGTTTATTGAAAAAAGTATATTATTACCTCATAAATGATATTAGAAAATTAGGTTTTAAACCACTAAGTACTCCAATAGATATAACTCATAAACTTACGAATATAGAACAAAGAAGTTTTATATATAAATTCATAACTCATATATCAATGTATATCAAGAAAATTCATTTACTTTCCCCATATTATACCAAATATTATATAACTTGTAGGTGTTCTTAGTAAATTTATACATGACCATAGCAAAGAGAACAAGAATAATATATATATGAATTTTTTTACTGATATTGATTATGTATGCTCAATTATTGATTGACCTTAGCTTATTGTATGATCCTTGGGGGTGGCCTCATCATATGGAGTAAGAGTCAACAAGTGGTGGCTTGATCAAGCTTGGAGTTTTGAGTTTCAAGCCATAACACAAAGAATATGTAAAGTCATCTTAAAAGGCCTCACAATAAAATAATAAGGTTATTTTATTATACTATAACAATAAATGTGTTATAAGTATTGTTGACAACTGACA